ATCTAGTGTGGTCGAGTACAAAATATTTCAAATCATAGCACAAATATCTAAATATTATTCCCTATACCTAATTTAGTACTAATACTCAGTATTATTTACTCAAAAATGGGTGTCAGTTGCGTATACATAAAATAAATCCGAATGTATTATCAAAATAAACCTTCGGAAAATTGAAGATAATGTCTTTAGGTGCCTATCATTTTCCCTATGTCCAGTAGTTTGAAATATTACACAAAATCTTGTTTGTAAAAGTATTTTCACTTGCATCAAGCTATAATGTAATTCATCAGAACTTTATAAACTGAATATTTTACCAACAATCCTTACATAATTCTATAACATTGCCAATAAATAGTAAAATATGAAATAATTGTAAGAATCACTGTGTCGTTCCTGTATGAATATAAATAAATCCATATTGCATTTATATTTGCATGTAGTCGGAGAGGGAAGGCAATAAATGCATGGACGCTGACCAGACTAATCCCCCCTCAGAATCTCTTCATCTCAAATATTTACGGTTTGTCAACCCATCCGATACAGCTTTGTAATTTTAGATAGGAGCGCACTTTCAGTTCCTTCCTCTTATTTACTGTACAGATTCACCATTATCAGATTTTAACAAGCAAATAAATGAGACAATACATATATTGTATGGATCGACGATACAAAAACTGTCTTTTTTCATTTTAACGTGATTGGGGCGTAACCTAAATATAAACAGGAGAAGCGGAGTAAAATGCTTGTGGTAGGTTTTTACTGACTAAAAGGTTTTTCTCTTTAGTAAGGTCCAATAATGAATTACAGCTGGGTTCAGTTTTGAACGATTAAACAGCCAAAGAATTTTCTCAGCATGAAACCAGTGACATTCTGAATGCTAGGCAAGCAATGTAACATATTTACTACTCAGCCAATATGCCACTGCTTAGCAATTAAACTTGCAGCACTTATTTAGATTGACATAAATCTATTTTAAATATAGATTATAGTATAATAAGTTATTAATCAGCACTAGTACCAAAATGTTATCAATAAATAATCAGCAACAACTTTAGTTCAAATATTTATGAAGTAATCCCGATAACGTGAATTAATTATGATACTAAAAAAATATGATAGTGGCAACAATAAGATAGCATCGATTGCCATCTAATATCAAAATCTAAGTAGTCTTAACAAGCTAAGATAAATAGCAATATAATATGTTGGTACTGTAAATGTAAAATATAGCCAAGATCAATACATAAAATACATGCAATAGTCATAAAATTTACAATTTTAATATTCTTAAGATGACAGTACAAGCAAAGTTATAACGGCAAACAATATAATTATTCTAAAAAGAATATATAAAACACAATATCAATTGTATACATATACAAATAATATAATTCAAATTTGATTTGCTGATTACCACCTACCTCTCAGAGAAATCTCAAAGGTAGTGTGAGATGTTTCATCCCCTTTAAAAGGATTCTAGAAATCCCACCAAAATAGAGGTAGCCTAGTATGTCCACGTACTTCCTCTTAAAAATAATTTTGGATAGGTGACAGCTGATTCCTTGAATTAAAAAAAATCCTCGTTCAGAAACACTAACAAAAAAGTTTATAGTTAATTAACACGAAATTGTAGTTTACTATTATTGGCATTATTTCCTAATGTCATAGAACTCATAAGAAGATTATATACTACAAATATGAAACGTAAAATTAAATTTTATTTTAGTATTAGAGGTAAATGTTACCCATAATGCCTTAGATCGTCCTAAGACATGTTATATTGTTAATTGAAAACGTCACGTAGTAACGAAAAGGGACCAATTAAAAGGGAAGAGGGACCTTATCTTCTCTCGAACGGGTGTAAAATGACATTTTTATTAAGGCCTATTTTACATTTACGAAATTTAATTTTTATCTCACGGTCATACTTTCATATAAGCTGCAAGCAAAGTAGATTTCGTGTTCAGTAATATTTACGGGGCTAATATTGTTAAAGCAAACCCAAACTCTTTAATACTGTGTTTCAAACCCATTCATTGTTTACTTTTTCATATTGATACCATGCACTCCTTTAATTTTCATGGGAAATTAATTAACTCAGGAAAATAAAGTGATGCGATAACACCTAGTTTTGACACACAGTGGAAAAGTTATATATGAAATCCAAACTTTATTACATTTTTATTTTATTTTTGTGTACATTTGCTCTATTTTATGGTCACGATTATATTTGTAAAACTGTTTAGAGTACAAGTTTTGATTGTAAATTCAACTTCTTTAAAACGTTAACCACTTATAAAAAACACCCCTCTTTAGAAAGGGATAATTTATTTCATTGTTGTCATTGTAAATAATATTGGTTAGTATTAAGTACGATTTTAACGACTTTCGCGGCGTAAGAGATTATTTTAATATGCCACACACCACTTAATTAATATTTTAAAAACATATTTTGAATAATGTTGCATTGCCGAACGTTTCCCGAGAGAGAGAGAGAGAGAGGGAGGGAGAGAGAGAGAGAGAGAGAGAGAGAGAGGGAGAGAGAGAGAGAGAGAGGGAGAGAGAGAGAGAGAGAGAGAGAGAGAGAGAGAGAGAGAGAGAGAGAGAGAGAGAGAGAGAGAGAGAGAAAGAGGCTTAATCATTTATATTTGAAAGTAAACTTAATTTGTGAAACTTACTGTAATATTACAAACGAAAGGTACAAAATTAAACAGAACTACTTGGGGCGTGTCTTGTCCAGTGGTTAAGCACCGGATGTCCGTCCTGTATAGGTTCCAATCACTAATGACAATAATCCATGAGACCTGGTGGTACAGGGCCTAACTTTAGCTGTACGACAAACATGCAATTTGGAAAAGATTGTCAAATATTGGTCTTCAGTAGATGACCATGTTTAACAGGCGAAAACTGGTATTTTCTCAGGTGCAACAATTCGGTCATCTTCTGAAGACCAAAGTTTGACCGGATTTTGACCGTGGAAGCCTACCTTCTAGCTACGGGGCTATTTAATGCAATATATAGACGATACCAGGATCATTAAGTGTATACACCGTATTTAGAAGCATATTAAAACAATTGTTGACATTTTATGATGAAGAAAACTTAATTAGGATAGCTTTTCTTGGTCAGTGAGCAACAGAACGGGGCACCGGAATTTTACCCCCTGACCAGAGCTGACGCACTATGACGTAGTAATCTGGGTGTTCTCAAGTTTATTCACGGGCAGAACTTTACCCCTGCGGATTTGGGAGTTATATGTATATTGTAAATAGACAAAGTGTGATGAATTAGATTAGCAATAAAAGCCGGAATGTTAACCCCTGTCCAAATAATATGTATATGTTTAGGCAACTGAATTATTACCCGCAGACCAATTTTGCAAATAATAAGAGTTTTATAGAAAGATGTTTAGTCAGTTACTGCAGTTTATATTCAATTTTGTAGGAAAATGTAATTTTTAAACAAAATATAAAAATAAACCAATACACGTAGAAGCAGAACTGTCAAAAGCTTATTTCACAACTTCAGACAGCTGATCCAAACGAATCAAATTTTAATCTAGCACAACTATATGCTAATTTTGATTTATTTGTTCTTGAATGTGTAATTGATTCAACCACATTTGTTGAATCAACCTAGGCTTTGCCCCGAATCGTCAATGTGGTAAGGATATGATAATGGCCTAATTAATGTTTGTTAGGGGAACAGTAGGGAAACTTAAGTTTGTACATGTATCGAGTTATTTTGATATTTTGTTAACAAATTTAATTTCGTTACAAAATCCAATGCACACCGCAGTTAATAACAGTTTACTGATTAAACGTATTTCTACAGAACACATATCATGTAAACAATTATTAGTTATTCTCAGCAAATTCTATATCTGGAAAGGGGCTAAAATTCCGTGGGTAAGAATCCGGAGGTGAAATTCTGGAGATAAAAATCGGGGCCGTACTTTTGAGCTAAGCTCATTAAGGCGTAAAAGTCCGAGGATAAAGTTCCAGTCCGTACACTCTAGGTTTTATAACTTAATTTGTTCCCAATAAATTCACAACCGTGAAAAGATATGTTTAATTCCACTTTTAATTTACTCAGATGTTGCGCAGCTCAAAAGTCCGCGATCGGAATTTCACTCTCTAAGATGTGACATTAGTTTTGCTCAGGGAGTAAAATACCGCTATCTTAATTGAACACCTCCACATTTGTACACAATACATAACTATAAATTAAACATGCTTCCTATACCCTTTCAAAACATCTTGGGAAAATATTTTCCCCCTCGGTTCGTATAGAGGGGGGTTTCTTGTTTATTTTTGTTTTATTAAAATTATACTTTTTTAGAACTATGTTAATTAAATAAACCAATTGATTCAAAAGCAATAGCTTGCCCTCTGGTGCTGTAGCTAAGCAGTGAAACACAACTAGTTAAATATACACTAAAAAGAGAAGCATTTAGCATCCGGGGACTCAAACTGTTACCAACAAACGTAAACCCGACTTCAGATTTTACGATTGGACGAGAAGTGCACTTTTACTATTCAACATCAATACTTGAACCAAACAAAATTCATAAAACTACTTATGGAAGTCTTAATATATTGTAACAACATGGTGACTCGGTGACCAAGTCGGTAGCACAACGGAATACAAGCTTATGGCGCCATGGTGTCCGCCACTAACAGTATACAGTAAATGGTACAGTATGGTGGTAAATGGTGGTGGTGTAACAGTAAATGGTGGCTCACAAGCTGAGCTACACAGATGTGAGTCACAGCTTGCTTTGCTAGAAACGTTACCCGGATCGGTCAGAGGTCTCTGTCGACGGGAAAATTTCAGATTAAAATTCCCTTAAGGCATTTATTTAAATAACGGAATCTATATACCAACACGTCGTTAAACTTGTTTTAACGTTCTCTGTGATAGTAAACATGCTTAATAACTCCATAAACCTCAAGTTCTCTTCCCTAATGATGCTATAAACCTTTTTTGTGGTGTTACAGACGATCTGCCGTAGAAGAGGAGTTGCCCGTAGTTGATCAAGCCACGTATCAAAATGCGGCAGCTGCCAACAGCGGCGAGAGACTCGCGCCAGAAACCCCTGAGCAAGGGCTGGTGTCGGCGGCCGCTAGCATGTCCTTGGGCCCAGCCCAGGGTCCACAGAGGCCCATCTACCCCAACGTTCCCTTCTCGCCTTACTCTTCACCCAGGTCAGTGAAATGGCCACTAAGTATCTTAGTTTAAATAATAAGTTTGGTGTTCATCATTTTGACCTAATCCTGACATATGATGAGCCCACTGAGAGTCTTCAATGATTTAGGTTCCCCTCCAGTCTATAGGGTTCATAATCAGCTTTTTTTTTATTATTCACAAATCCACCAAACTAACTAAGCATAAACAACTCAACTAACCACTACAACAACCCCCACAGAACCCACTTAATTCTTGAAATGTTACTAACTTGTATGCAACATTCGTAGCACACACAGCCCTTCTCCAAGAATGTGCCAGTGATCCCATCAGCCCCTGATAGTTCAAAGAAGTCAGTGAAGATTTTCTGGTTAAAACCGACCAATTATAAAGACATTAGATACGGTTGTTAGATACGTTAGAGTATGCTGGGTCTGATTAGCCTTTAGATAATAAAAAATCAAATATTACCTTATAAATAGGAACAAACTGTTTAAAAACTTTAAAATACACAAAATTAACCAACTGTTAAAAAGTGCCTATGTTATTCCATTGCAAGATAAATAAACAATAGTAGTTTGGAAACTTTTTTTATGACATACTAAGATATCAACATTTTAATAAAAAACACACCTCATTACCTTAATTAGCAGCAAACTTAACTCATTAATATTATTGTCCAGTGAATTAAAACATTTCTCTCTGCATGTTAAGTTGTACAAAGTAATATGCATTTGATGATGAGTACCATTTTAACATGTCATCATATTAATAAAAAAGTTTGTGAAAAATGTATTCATACAAAACAGTGACATGCTACCCTTGGAGTATTCAATGAACATGCATTATGTATATGAGGTGCACTACGTAACCCTCCAAGGAGAAATAAAGGCTACAAAAACGGCGGGAATGGTAGATGAGGCTAGCCATAAAGATAACAGATCTAACAGATGACCATATTCGTATCGATGCCCGCGCTACTGCGACGGTGCGGCGACGGCGTGCACTAGACGCATTGTTGTTTTCTCTCTCTTCTTCTCTTCTTATCCCCTTCTTCTCCTTGTTGCGTCCACAAATTGTACTTAAAAGTACGAATAAAATTAAAGAAGAAAAATAACTTAAAGTAATTATTTCGACTAGCTAATTTATGTATACGTTAAAATATTATTATTACAAACTAACTAAACGTATACTAAACGTATACTAATTTTGCACTCGTGTGTTGATTCGTAGTCAACTAAAAATTTACTAAGTTAAAAACAGTAACTCCTAATATTTGCCATAACAATGAAACACACATAATTTTTTTATCCGTCTTGGTGGTTGCAGCTCTGTTCTAATTTAATTTTTATTAATAACAATAAATCTGTAATTTAAATATGAGATTAATTGTCTACTCTTTGATTAGTGGCTTAGTAAAATAATTAATAAACAAAAAAAACTCATTCATATAAAGTCTACATATACTAAATCAAATGCTTTTATTTTATAGATTTCTAAGTCGATTAATAAACGGTGTTATTATAACTACGAATAAATAAACAGTTAAAATATCATATCCAAACAATAACCAAACTATTCTCCACATAATTAACGATTATAATTTTAAAATATGTTTAATCAAATACGTTTATGATCTAAGTGTTGTTTTTACTACAGATAACTCAACGCCACATTAACGAACTAGGCTACGGATTTTTATAATATATAAATGTACAATCGGACATCTTCAATTATCCCTTCCAAGAAACAACACTGGAGACAACACCATCTCAATGTCGGGGCCAAGAGCTAACCAGTTATGTAACGAACAAAACTTTTGTCATTTTCAGCTGAACATATGTAAAGTAAATTTGTGTAATTCTGCAAAATAGGTGTTAGACGTTTTTATTAAATTCTTCTCAAAAAAATCATCCTGTAGTGTAATGTAAAAATCAAAATGAATTGAACTACATAACATTATTACTCTTTTTAATATGTTACACCGTATCCGAACACATTAACACCCATTATGAAGTTTATTAAGATGTGACTAAATCGTCAATTAAGTGTGAAGCACCCTTAATTTCACAATTCAGATCAAACTCAACTCCTTGTTTCACAAGGGTTTGAAAACCGGCTTTGTTAAGCCTTTGTTGGTGAGAGTAAAAAATAATGGCCGAGATAACTTCAAAGGGCGCTCCTTAAAAGTTTGGGGAATAAGAAATACCGGAGTCCTTATTATTTTGGAATTTCTTCATGATATCATAAACTTCTTAGTCTTTATTTGTCACCTTACCTATTTATACTATTCTATTGGCTTTGAATAATTTACTCTGCATTACGACAAAAAATGTATTTCTGTATTCTGATTACTAAATGACAAATTCTTTACTTATTAAAATAATCTGACTCAGGAAAACATCAAACGAAATATATATTTATTTTACCTACATATTATTTTATATCGGTAGAAACTCAATATATAAAAATGTAGAGCTAGAGTTCACATTAATATGCATATTAATTTTGAGCATTTGTATAGTAAAATTACCAAATAAAGTTAAAACCGTTCAAATGTATGCCATGATTTATTTTATATTTAAAATTTCAACTAAAATCGTAGTAATACGAATTATAGTTTTATTAATTTATTTTATATAATTTATTGTATACTACTTTTTGGCACAATCTTATCAGTTTTCTTGAAAAAAAAGAACAATTAGAACATCAAAGAGTTCGTAAGTGTTTTCCTACAGAAAAAGAGTCATTCAGTTAAGAATCCAAATAAATTTTGCATTTTGCTTTTTTAGATACGCATTAACAAGTCTATTGTAAAAAAACTATTAAAAACTATTAATTACTTTAAATGTTTCTCAAAACAATTTTGTGCAAGCTATATTCCACAAAATAACCTTAAATGGAGTTGCGACGCATAACATTGATAACAATAACACAATTTTGATCTATAAGGTAAAATAACAGAAGGATAGAGTTAGTAGCTTTACAGTAGTTTGGTTTGAGAGGACCAACCATCTTCATTATATCTTCCTTATCTTCCTTATAATAGCTTGAACCACCTGGAGGTTATACTGAAGGTCCACATAAAATATTAGTCACCGGGATTGGCCCATAAGGATATTTCTTACCATAAAGTGCAAACATTTCCTACGTACCTGCTTTAAACGTGGTCGGTACCCACCGTAGAGTACCTGCTAGAAGGACGCTGGTCAGAGCAATTGACTGATGTTCGTTGGGCTACAAACGAATGTAGTGCTTTAAATTCAGCTTTGGGAGACTTTACTGTATATATAGGCTTACCTCAATGAAGAGCCATTTGATAATTTTATGCATAGACCATAAAATTGCTAAAAATGCACAATAAATCTCAAAGTACATTACAGCCATCGGTATTTTATGATTGCCATGTATTTTAACCTAAACGCAATTCCAAGCTGCAAAATCAACTTGTTGTAACCGAGGTTGATACATTGCAAACACAATCAATCGACAAATGCTTACCGTGTCATGCATGTAGCTAATGAGTTACATTGTATGCCTTTGTACAAACTCATATCGTGTATTTTTTTGTCTAGAAAGAAGAAGAGCCTGTTTATTGATCTTTATTGTTTCAATGTGTTTACTATCTCCCTCTATACATAGTATATGAAGAAAGTATTGTTTTCGTCAACATTTTTTTTATTTTGAGTTATGAATGGAAATATCCATTTTGGAAGTATCCCCTGTACCAAAAAAAGAGTTTTTCGAAGTGATTTCCCCCTAAACCCCTCTAAATAACGAGAAAATACAAAAACGGCTCAATTTTTTTTATTAAAATTTTGTAAGTTTTGGTCCTTCTAGTTAAATAAAAAATAGTACAATACAATTGCTGTATACATCACGGTTCAAAAGTTACTTTTGTGGTTTTCCCCATTAAATGCCGTAGTAAGTTACTCCCACCGCTTCATCTCAACAAGTCATCTCATCCTTAGGTTATTGCTTCACTTATATTTGTGTAGCTCAGTGTAATAAAGGGTCGTGTAACCCTAACCTTACTTGATAAAACTAAGGATTTTAATTTCATTGGTGAGTCGGTGGCTCAGTCTGTAGCACCACGGACTTTGGGCCCAAGACAGCGATGTCGTGGGTCCGAATCCTGCTGGTACCTGACACTACTTTTTACCAGTACAGTTCACCCTTTACGGCACTATACGGGCTCGCCCCCTTTTATGCTGAATATGTTCCACTCACAGGACCATAACCTATGTGGACGGAAAAATGCAACGTTTAAAGAGGCCACCAACCTTTTTGTAAATTATTTTTATTCCATTTGAATTCAATACATGTATACAAATTGTATGTAATACCGTTTAGGTACCTGATAAAACCCACAAGTTTTAAATTAGTGTAGCCAATTTGACAATTAATTATTCAACAATTTTTTTTATAATATGCCAATTTTAACAATAATTTTATAAATAAAATATTAAACAAGTATTAATAGCTTCAAAATATTGTAGTCAATAACCATTACGGTGTGAAATTAATATGACAGAAATCCAGAAGGACATTTTCGTGTTTTTGTCCCTTATCGATTCTTAAATTACGGTTCCTAACTTTAAGAGGCTATATACGTCTTCCTTGACACCATGTTGGAATGATTCCAAATGTTTTAGTCCCATCCGACACTCCCGCCCTTCCAACTCGAATTTCTCATTCGATACTTATTATTTAATTTATTTTTTCACTCGTATTACTATACCCACAAAATAGCAAAGCTTTCTACAGTAACTACTAAGAATTAAATTGACGGTGTTCCATAAATCTGTTGCTAACAAATGTGTTGGATAAATGACATTCAGTTATGTAAAAAACAATTATTTAGTTCCATATCGCATTGAAAGTGGAAGTTAAATACCAAGAAATAACTTTAATTTTGCGTTCAGTAACTTATTGTTTACCTTCTGTTCTTTTTTTTAATTGATTCCTTTTGATTTATTTCAACTCTCATTAAAGTGATATGTTAGCACAATACGCAGAG